TAAGCAGCCCAAGGAAGACGGCATGGTCTCCCACCGTGGGATAACTTTTGAAGACGGCGATCACACCGCTCATCAACGTGAGGCCAAATAAAGGGTCTTGCCGATACTTGATCGAAAAGGGCAACACGTAGCAGGCCAGATGGACGTTGAAGGTGAGGAGGAAAAAGTCACGGAAATGATCAAAGATCTCCATGAAAAAGTACCACCACAGACCCAAGTTGGGTGTGAGATCGGTCGCAAAGAGCATCAGGCCGTAAACTTGTTCTGCCCATGCCCAGCCGCTGTCGAGCGGTATGGAGAGTACGTTGGGTAGGTTGAGCAAGAGCGAGCCGATCGAAGCGCTGCCTGGACTGAGTGCAATGGCGCGTGAGATCCAGAGACCACCAGCAAGTGCTGTTGGCATGAGAACAAGGCCTTTGAGGATCGTGCGGCTCTGCATAATGATCAATTCGCGAAAGGGATATTGTATGTCAGTACTAGAAGTGCATGCGGATTGCCTGCTGCACTCTGGTCGGGAAGAGGACACCCACCTTGGCAGATCGAACTCGATCGACCAAGAATCCAAGTTGTCGTGCAGTCTTTGCATCTGTTGCCAAGGCATTCTTGCCAACGCGAGCAATTTCGCGTTCGTAGATGAGCTCCCCTGCTCTTTTGCGACAGAGCTGCACCAGCATAGGAAAGAGCAACGCAGGGTACAATGATAGCAGCGACGACGCCGCCCAACACAGTGCGAGCTTGGTTGCGGAGCCTGGCAGCGGTGGAAAGGAGAAGATTGGCGAAATGATTGCCGGGTCAGTAAGTTGGCATTTGATCGTGCATTGTACGCTGTCCCAACGGTCGAGCCGGTCGCGGAAAGAACATACCTGACATGGCCGCGTCGACTGCAGCGAGCAAAGCAGCCACTTCGAAAGAGGTGGAGCTTCTAGCAGCACAGGTAGCGATGGTGAAAGGGTTGAAAAGATAGATAGCGGCAACCTTGACGGCTCTGCTCTGATCCCAGGCGAAAAGGTGTGTCTTCTTGGCCCATGCAGCCGATTCGCGGGAAAGGCAGATGCGGAAGAGAAGCCACCCTGCAATCGCGTCTGCCGCTATCCACACGAGTGCGATCGGCAATTCATCCCCAACCGAGTAGAGGCGCTCGAGCGCATTATGGAGGATCGGAAGAAGTAGCGGCGAGTGGTGGATCGTACCCGCTGAGTAAGGATCAGGGATGTAATGCGGAGATAAGGTCGAGACGGGTGTTGGCGGGTGTCGGAAGAGGTAGTGCGTCTCAACAAGCGACTTGAAGCTGCTGAACGGCGAAGTCAGCTCCGGTCGATCTTGCAAGAGCTCGAAGGCATCAGTGTAAAGGACGAGTCCGAGTCGGAACAGCATAGCTCCTATCAAAGTGAGATAGAATAGCGACTTGGACGGCTGTAGCTCTCGGGTCGTCATGTCCTTTCCGGCTCCCGGCACTTTGGCTGTCGCCGCCATACTGATCCGCTCTGCTGCTCCTCCGGGCTGCAAGGGCCTTTTGAGCTTCTTGACGGTCTACAAATACAGTAGAAGGATGTGCGTGTGGTCGTACAGGAAGAGAAGTGGTGCAACGCTCAGTGCGGAAGCAAGTGTTGGTCTTCACGCGCTCTGTTGTTCTCCGCTCATACACGATCGTGCTCTATTCGCAGCTGTGATTCCGCGAAGAAAGCTCAAATCGACAGATCGGGGCGTGGAGGTCCATTTCCCGACTTCCGTCATTGGTCAGCGTTCGAGGTGAAAAATTTGTCAAAAAAAAAGGGTTCGCCAGCGAAAAGACCCGACCCTGCAGCTTTGAGAAAATTTTTGAGAAACTTCTGAGCTCAACAGGAGCATTTGGAACAGGCAGAAGAACAAGGCTCAGCAGTAGTGGCCATCCTTGCCCGCTGTCGATTGGCCGAATTGTTGTATTTAAAGGCTCTCGAGTCAGCCTAACTCACCCTTCCACCACGATCAAGCAACAGTCACCCTTTGATATCCTTACAAGCATCTCGACTTGTATGCAGTAAGAGACGCTTGCCGCTCTTTCACACATCAGCCCAATGTTGTACACAAAACTAGCTTGCCCACTTGGGCTCGCTCGTCCGATGGCTGCTGCTCGTCAACTCTCGACGTTGACCGCCAGGACCATCATTCGAGCCCAGCTCACTCCATCTGCTGCATCTCCATCGCTGCGTCACGGCCTCGCGTCAGTGCAGCATAGCAGGCTCGCACGTCTGGAATCGGCCTCAAGCATCGCAAATGCCATCCGCAGTCTTTCTCACTCAGCCGAGTCGGCGGAACCCGCTGCCGCCGCCGCCGCAGCAGCAGCAACCGCTGATGTGCCCGAGTATGAGGCAGACATTATCACCACAAGCAAGAACGCGCGTGACTTAAGCTCGTCGCGGGTCAAGGATGAGACCTTCGCATCATTGAAGGGCGCCATTAACCCAGCACTACTCAAAGCTTTGACTGTCAAGCCTTTCGCCTACACCAACATGTCAGCCGTCCAGCAGAGCGTACTCCACCTTCTGCCCGAAGTTGCCAGTGAAGTTGGGGAGCACGCCGCCCCCATGCCTGACGGACAGGGCAGAGACATGCTTGTCAAGGCCAAGACAGGAACCGGCAAGACCATTGCTTTCCTTGTGCCCGCCCTCGAAGCCCGTCTTCAATCCATCGAGGACGTACGTAACGGCAAGTTTCCAAAGCCTTGGCTTGACATGCTTCAAAGACACAGGCCCGGCTTGGATGTCGCATCCCTCAAGAAGAATGAGCTGGAGGACATTGTCAAGCAGTTTGTCAACAACACAGTCGGCATCCTCATCCTGTCACCCACACGAGAGCTTGCTACTCAGATCGCTGAGGAGGCCAAAAAGCTGCTAACCCACCTTCCGGATCTCAAGGTCCAGCTCCTCGTCGGAGGTGCAAGCCGAAACTTCCAGATCAACGACTGGAGGCGATCAAGGCCCGATGTCGTCGTTGCCACCCCTGGACGAATCCTCGACCTGCTCAACGACATCGGAATGATGCGCGAGGCCATGACTGCATGCCGCACTCTCATCCTCGACGAGGCCGATACCTTGCTCGAGATGGGTTTCCGTGACGACCTACAAGCCATCATGAGTCACCTGCCCGCCAAGGTTGATCGTCAGAACATGCTATTCAGTGCCACTGTCAGCCCTGAGATTCGTGCCATCGCCCGCGCCAGCTTGCAGAAGGACCACCGCTTCATCGACTGTGTTCCTGCAGGCGAGGAGAACGTCCACAAGCACATTCCACAGTACGCCACCGTCCTTGAGTCGGCTGAAGAGCAGATCCCACACGTTTTGCGTCTGATTGCACACGACCAGCTCATCAACCCCGGCAAGTCCAAGACCATTGTCTTCGCACCCACCACCAAGACGACCGAGTTCTTCGCCGAAGTCATCCGCCGCGCACAACGTCATCTTCCGGCCGGATCTGGCTCCAGCATCTATGAGATCCACAGCAAGAAGGATCAGCGTTCTCGATTCAACACCAGCGACCGCTTCCGCAAGGATCAAAGTGGCGCCAGTGTACTTGTCACTAGTGACGTCAGCGCTCGTGGTGTTGACTATCCTGGTACCACCCGCGTCATTCAGATCGGTATTCCCAGCAGCAAGGACCAATACATTCACCGAATCGGCCGAACAGGTCGTGCCGGTGCCAAAGGTCGATCCGATATTGTGCTGCAGAACTTCGAACGTGGCTTCCTGCACTACCAGCTCGACGATCTTCCCATGACTCAACTCCACGTTGAGGACCTTGCTCAGGAAGTCGAGACACTCTCGCAGCGCTTTGACGAAGCACCGGAGGAGTTTGCCGTTCCACAGGAGCTTGTTGACGCGGCCAAGACCAAACTTCAGCAAGCAAAGAAGGGTGGGCCGAAAAAGGGACGAGACAGGGATGCTGGCAACGTCAAGGCTCCCGCTAAGCTTCAAGGACCCCTCTCCGGCAAATACAGCACCGAAACTCTTGCTCCTCTCATCGAAGACTCGCTCAATTCGTTGGACGAGGAGGAAGGTATTCGTGAAGTCTTTGGCTCATTGCTTGGTTTCTACGTCGGTAAGGGCGACGAGCTCCGCACCAGCAAGATGCAGATGATCGAGGGTCTCAAGCAGTGGACCATTGAAGCTGGCCGCCTCGAACGACCCCCTCACATGAGCGAGCAATACATGCAGAAGCTCGGTATCTCGTCCAGAGATGTGCGCGGCGGAAGTGGTTCATCCCGTCGTGATATGGTCAACATTGGTGGACGTGGTGAACGCGACGGCGCTCGCTCTTTCGGTCGTGGACGTTTCAGCAAGGACAGCAACAGCCGTGGTGGCGAACGCGACAGAAGCGACTTCCGCAGTGCACGAGACAGCCGAGACGGTCGAGGCGGTTCTCGTTCCAGCGGAGGACGTGGCGGCAGCAGCTGGGGAAGCGGACGTGACGCTCGTGAGGGTAGTTTCGGTCGCTACAGCAGCGGTGATAAGTGGTAAGACGCTCGTCCACCTGCTTCGACAAGGATACTAGCGTGAGGACATCCGCTATTTCTGACTCTTCTTTCAAAAAGGCACATGGCCCACAGACTTCAAAAATGTACTTTTAGCTACTGCGTCGTTCACTCAAAACCTGTACTATTAGCCTCTTTTATCTCATCAGGATCTATCAGAGAGGAGAAGCTCCGTCTGCGAATCTCCATGACTTCAATCGAGAACAATATCACCACTTCTGTCAAGGTCTCCAGTCTGAGCAAGACTGCATCGAACACCCAAGGGTTCGTGGCGAGAAGACAACCGATAGCCAGTCATGCGCAAATGACTGTTTTGCAGGCGGATGTATGGCGGTAGGAATGCCTCCTTCGACCGCTCGCGATGCAGTCTTAGTGAGCCCTGACGTGAGCTTGTACCAGCCAGCATTACTGGCAGCGTCGAGGCGTCGACGCTTATTATCCGGAAACATAAAAATCATTCATATATGCAACAAACGCTTAAGCCCTTAAGCATGCAGCCTTAGTATAGTGGTTAGTACAGCTCGTTGTGGAGAAGAGTTCTTGCTTTGATTCACCGAGCAGACGGATGTTCGATTCCTCCAGGCTGCATCATTTTTTGCCCCTTTAAGAATAGATTTTGCTCGTCATGACAAGCCGCTATAGCCCTGATGAGCTGACCATCTTCTTGCTGCTGGGACCAGCAGCACAATCTGACGAATGCAACGAACGGGTTGATCCGGACAGGAACAATTCGTCGGCAATGAGATGGTGGAGATGATGAGCCCGCGTGTTAAAATGACGCTCTGACCAACTCAGGAATTTCGAGCGAGCCGTTAGGAAGGCTGAGATCGAGGCGGCTGCAGGTCGAACAAAACGCGTGCGGTGTTGCTGTCACCTTGTCGCTCCTGCCCCGTCAGCACAGCTTCCTGTCTTCGACTCTCAGCACACACTTCTACGGCTCGGATCTTCTCCTCATCACTCATCGGCTGTACGGAACAGCTTGACTGTCTGCGTCTCGCCGTATCACACCCTGCTCTGACGTGAACGTGCCTCTGGCTTTGGTTCAGTCTCTTCATCCACCGTACCCTGACGAAGCTGGACCACCATGTCTACCTTCTTCCAGAAACAGCAGCAGGTAGCTGCGCTCGATCCACGCCTCGGAGGCCTGATGGCCAGTGCTGGTCTCTACAATCTGAAAGCACTCATCAAGGCCATTCGATCGTGCAAGACCTTGGCAGACGAGCGATCGCTAATCCAGAAAGAGTCGGCCTCCATTCGAACAGCTTTCAAGGATGAGGATCCCTTCGCTCGCCACAACAATATCGCCAAGTTGCTCTACATTCACATGCTGGGCTACCCAGCCCACTTCGGCCAGATCGAATGTCTCAAGCTCGTAGCTACACCGCGATTCACCGACAAACGTCTCGGCTACTTGGGCATCATGCTTTTGCTCGACGAGAATACCGAAGTCTTGACCCTCGTCACCAATGGCTTGAAGAATGATATGGAGCACTCCAACATGTACGTCTGCGGGCTGGCACTCTGCACCTTTGCCAACATCGCATCCGAAGAAATGTCACGAGATCTCTGTAACGAGATCGAGAAGCTCATGGGCAGCAGCAATACCTACATCCGTCGCAAGGCCGCTATCTGTGCCATGCGAATTGTACGCAAGGTACCGGATCTGATCGATCACTTTGTCGACCGCACCAAGCAGCTGTTGTCGGACAAGAACCATGGTGTTCTGCTTTGCGCTGTGACCTTGGCCATCGAGATCTGTCGTCAGGATGCCGAAGCATTGCAAGACTACAGGCGGGCTGTGCCGCTCCTCGTTCAGCACCTCAAGTCGCTCGTCACTACTGGCTATTCGCCCGAGCACGATGTGTCCGGCATCACCGATCCATTTCTGCAAGTCAAGATCTTACGACTACTGCGTATCCTCGGCAAGGAGAACGCACAGGCTTCCGAAACCATGAACGACATTCTCGCTCAGGTCGCTACCAACACCGAAGCAAGCAAAAACGTCGGCAACAGTATCCTCTACGAGACGGTCCTCACTATCCTCGAAATCAACGCTGACAACGGTCTCAGGGTTATGGCAATCAACATTCTGGGCAAGTTCTTGAGCAACCGAGACAACAACATTCGATACGTTGCTCTCAACACCCTCAGTAAGGTCGTGTCCATGGACACCAATGCTGTTCAGCGTCACCGCAACATCATTCTCGACTGTCTCCGTGACGGAGATATCTCGATCCGACGACGAGCGCTCGAGCTCAGCTATGCGCTCATTAACGAGAGCAATGTTCGAGTTCTCACTCGAGAGCTGCTGTCTTTCCTCGAAGTCGCCGACAACGAATTCAAGCTTGGCATGACTACCCAAATTTGCCTTGCAGCCGAGAAGTTTGCTCCTAACAAGCGGTGGCATATCGACACTGTCCTACGCGTCCTGAAGCTTGCCGGCAACTACGTTCGTGAGGAGATCCTCTCTGCTTTCATCCGCCTGGTCTGCCACACACCGGAATTGCAGGCCTACACGGTGCAGAAGCTGTTCTCAGCTCTTCATCAGGACTTCTCACAAGAATCGCTCACTCTTGCTTCGGTCTGGGTAATCGGCGAGTTTGGCGATGTCTTGATTCAGGGCGGCAACTTTGAGGACGAGGAGTTGGTGCGAGAAGTCCAGTCAAGGGATGTCGTTGATTTGCTGTCCTCCGTGCTTGACAGTCCGTACGTCAACGGCTTGATTCGTCAGTTCGTCCTGACTTCTCTCGCAAAGCTGCACACTCGACTTTCAGATTCGACCGAGCAGTCGCGCATCGAACAGATCATCGGCAGCTACGAGAGCAGTGTCGAGGTGGAGATTCAGCAGCGCAGTGTCGAGTTCGCCAGCTTGCTCAGGAGGAGCGATATCCGAGAAGGTGTATTGGAGAGCATGCCCCCTCCCGAGATCAGACAGACCGTATTGGGCACTGTCAGTGAGGCCAAGCCGGTTGGCTCGACAAGGTCAGACAAGGATGCATTGTTGGATTTGATGGGTGACGAGATGCCGGTGTCCAGCGGAGGCGGTGCGGCGTCGAGCGGTGCCGGTGCTGGAACACAGCAGACTACGCACGATCTGTTGGCGGACATCTTTGGTGGTAGCGACATGGGTGGTGCTCCAGCGGCGGCTCCTGCTGCCGGTGGAGCCGCTGCAGGACAGAAGCCAAAGAGCTCTGTCAACGACATTCTCGGTTTGTTCGGCGACAGTGGCAGCACACCAGCAGCAGCTCCGGCACCTGCCGCCCAAGCTACACCCTCCTCATATGGCGGCCTTGACCTTCTCGGAGGACTCGACACCAGCTCCAGCTCCGCTCCCACTCCAGCACCTGCTCCCACTCCAGCTGCCGCTGCTGCTCCAACGCAACCAGCCTCCGCCAAAGCCCACACAGTCTACAGTAAGCATGGTCTCAAAATCACCTTCACCCCGACAACCAACCCTGCTCGACCCGAAATCGTCAACATCACAGCTCGCTTCACCGCAACATCCCCCGTCTCCAACGTCAACTTCCAAGCAGCTGTCCCGAAGACACACAAGTTGCAGATGCAGGCAATCTCCAACTCAGACGTCGCACCCGGAGCTACAGAGACACAAGCATTGAGAGTTATGGTTCCTAACAACGCTCCTGTCAGGCTGAGGTTGCGCATTGCATTCAATGTTGGTGGAGAGAATGTGCAGGATCAGACTGATTGGGCTCAGCCTTCGGCTTAGTTTTGTTGTTCACAGAAGGCAATCACATCCATTGTTTCGCTTCCAAACCGCATTCCTTACAGGACTAGATGGTGCGTGCAGAAGAATTGCTGTTCTACATTAAGAAGTTGTGACGGATAGTGCACAGTACAGGGAAATAAGGTGACATACAAGTACAAGAAGGTGAGATGAGGATGACTTGAGCAATCTATCGTTTGTTTCCGGGGTATCATGAATGTTGCAATCCATTTGTCAGCGGCAGTCAGGTCTTGATCTCCTCGACCCAAGCCCCAGCCAAATCTGGTGGAAGCTCGTGCATCTGCACACTTGGTGCTCCATGAAGGTAGCGCAGCTGTTCAAGAATCTGGACTCGAATCTTCTCCAGACTTGCCTTTGAGTTCTGGTTCTCCACCCTTCCTGCCTGTGTCGGCTCATGCAGTCGGTAGGTAGGGGCAAAGAACTCCATGTACGGTGTGCTTGGTAGTGTATCAGGAATCGAGCAGCCAGTCAAGACGGATGTCTCATAAGCCCAACACCTTGCGACGTTGCGGATGGTGTACCCGCCTCCTCCAAGCACGAGCAGTGGAAGTCCGAAGGACTTGATGAACTGAACACACTCTCCGTGAGCGGCGATGCTGAGGTTGAAACATCCGAGACGGTCGAGTCCAAGCGAGTCAGCACCGCATTGAAGAACAATGGAGGAAGGTCGGAAAGTCGTGATAATTGGCTCCATGACGCTTTTGAAGAGAGCGACGTAGCCGGAGTCGTCGACTCCGTCCTGCAATGGAACGTTGAGACAGAAGTGCTTGCCCAGTCCGGTTCCGATCTCGTCAATGTTGCCGGTGCATGGGAAGAAGTCGTTGCCGTACTTGTGGAACGAGACGGTCATAACACGATTCGAGTTGTAGAATGCCTCCTGAACACCGTCGCCATGGTGGATGTCGATGTCGATGTAGAGCACACGCGGATGATATCTTAGTAGCTCCATGATGCCCAGCACAATGTCGTTGATGTAGCAGAATCCTGAAGCTTCGAACTTCTTTGCGTGATGAAGACCTCCTGACCAGTTGATTGCAATGTCAGTCTCGCCAGCTGCTAGACGACGAGCACCAGCAAGAGAAGCACCAGAGTAAGCTTTGCAGAAGTCGTACATGCCGTCAAAGACAGGACAATCGTCGGCAAAGTTGAACTTGGTGAATGCTGTTGATGGCGGTGTGGATGGTGTAACGTTGGCGAGGAAGTCGACATAGTCGCTGTCGTGAAACATCTCGAGCTCTTCCTTGGTTGCCTCGCGGGGAGTGAAGACGCTCATATGCTTGTGGAGACCGTATGCGAGGACGAGACGATTTGTCAAAGTGAGGCGTGCTGGCTTCATCGGATGTCTTTCGCCGTAGTGGAAGTCACCGACACCTGCAGGATGATAGTAGCTGACTCGAGTTTTGGAGTGTGGCTGGATATGGGATGCATCTTTGTAGATGGCTTGGCCTGAACCGTTGGCCTCGGATCGATCGTAGAAGAAGGGAGAGTCGGAGAAGGTGGCGCCGGAGTTGCCTCCTGTGGCAGCCATGTCAAAGTCGATGACCACCATGATTGCGAATGTTCAAGGTAGAAATGCCTCGCTCAGCATCCCATCGCTTTCGATCTTAGAGCACCCAGCCTTCGAGGGTTATGGAACGATGGTGACGCGAAGCGCCTGTGTACGTCCTCGTGAGTAAGCACCGATCAGTGCCGATGCGGTCGCGTGACGAGGCCAGAAGGATAGTGGTAGATGATGATGATTGCGGATGGATGCAAGGATGTGGATCTTCCAAAAGCTTCGAAGCCTCCAAAAGCGCAGCAAGAATCGGATCCGTTGCTGAGCGGAAGCCAGGATCCAGGGTCC